TGAAAATTTCTGTATAAATTCATGTATTATGTATTTCTCGGAAGGATTGATATTTTATTATCTTTATTTGTTCTTTTCTCCTCTTTAAGATACCTACTTTAGTCGCTTGGCATAGCGATGGTATAATATTCGTGGTGGGTAATGATAGAGGCCAGTTCCAACATTTTGATATCACTTTAACATGTATCAAAAGCCATACATTAAACGATGAGGCAACACCAGCGAATATACTTGATCTATCACCATATTTTAGGTAAATGCAATAAAATGATTAATTGATAGGACATAGCTATATAAAATTTAATTGATAAAATAATTGCATAACGCAGGAATCAACATGCCTTGTTGCATATGGAATGGAATAAGAAAAGTGATTCAAATCAAATTCGTTATTATAACAGCGGTAATTCTTTATTCTTGCTACTTTTTGAACGGTAAGAATCATCTTTTCGTGTAACTTATCCAGTATAAAATAATTTATAACAATCTGTTGTGTATTGACAGAGGACCAGTCGGCGTTATTAAGATGATCGAAAGCGATACTCTCTCCGGAGATGAATTAGTCAGAAGGTATTTGTCAGAATCTCAGATAGAACAAGCGACTGCCGTGCTGTTGTTGATGAATTGGGATACACATCCACATTCGTGCATGCATTCGCTTAATCAAATCTTAAATTATTTATTCAAGTTACCCTTAACAACGGATCGTGAAGGTTGGTTGAAAATTGAATCTCGTTGGTTGATTTTAACTCGATGATTAGTCGAAAGATTATTTATACGAATGATTAAAGAGACATGTTTGATCTAATAGGTCTGATACAGAATGCACTCGGCAGCTTCCACGTACCTGTTAGACCAATAAGTCAAGCTGTCGAAGAAGAATACGGGGATGAAATAAGAGATTTAACGAGGCGATTCTTCCATCATTTATTAAGGTAATTATTAACATTACTCGATACAAAACTTGATTATTTTAACGATTGTAATCTCTGTATAGATATAGGATGTTCGAAAAAGCTTTCAGACTGGCTATCGATCTAAATGATCACGATCTTTTTATGGATATACATTTCTATGCAATAGTTTTGAACGATATGGAACTGGCAGCTGCAGCTAAAGAGAAAGCTGAGAGTATTCTAAGTAGATCAAACAGTTGCACTGACTCGCGTAAGCATCGATGATTTTCCAAAAAGAATATTAAAAAGGTTTAAATACAACTCTGTATCTAGAAATATTTTTATAGATTCCACGTGCTCGAGAACGTCGTGCTCTATATGTTCCGATTCAAGCAATGAAAAGGAGGAGGAAGAGAATGAAGAAGAAGAAGAGGAAGATGAGGAAGAGGAGAGGGAGGAAGAAGAAATAGAAGAAATATGTAGCGAAGAGAGCGAAGATTCTCAGAGAGAAGAACGATCGAATCTGAGACGATCGCAAAAACGTCATTACAAAAAATCCTCCAGCTCCAGTCAAATTCCACCCTTACCAGTTGTCCATCCTCATCATATTGTAAAGAACACACTTTACGCATCTTATAATAATATTCCATCCACTACTAAAACTGACTACACTTTAATATCTTCGTCCTTCGATGCTTCCGATATGTTAACTTCGTTTAATCGTTCCTCGCACATTTCGAATTCATTTCTAGCATCAACCTCCTGTAACAAATCATTGTACAATACACATTCAAATTTTACGTCGACTAGCATAGGAAATAGTAATAATCCTCAAGCGTTCAATAATGCATCGGACGACTTGATGACTACATCTTTCGGTAGCATTTCTCTTATTGAATCAGAGATAGGTGGTGATCAGTCCGGTAATAATTTCGACGAGAGGCCATATGACGAGTCGTCACTTAACGAAATACCATATTCTTTTAATAATTCTGCCAGCAACGTAACAACAACTTGCGCGCAAGATAATAGTCTCATCTCTACTCCTTTCAACAAACCTATATATGAATGTGATGACATTCGATCTAATTATTTGACGAATCCCTTGGATATCGTTGACAATAATATTATGTCGACATCGTTCGGTACCCAAATCACTAGCACTCCTATCACGCATAATAATTCTATCAATATACTAACGGCAAATGATAATTGTGAAATTCCTGTGTTACAAAGCGTGAAATCTACAAAAATATCTGATAAATTATCAACTAGAACTCCCGTCGGTACTCGTACAATGGATGAATCTTCTCATACAAATAATACTTGTAACGATCTAATGTCTACTTCGTTTAACTGTCCTGAAGGATATGTAATTTTTGAAAATAGCGACATTGCATTTTCTAACACATTTGATAATGCTAACGCTCAAGCCATTAAATTACAACATTCCGTAACGATAGAAAAAGAAACTGATGTCGCTATATCACCATCACCACCACCACCACCCTCTCTGATAAATTCTCTCACTAATTACCTTCATGGCTTACCTAGGAAAAATTATCTTTTATCCAAAAACACTCAAGGTTTATCGAACTTTAATGAATTCGAAAAAGTTTCATCAAATAAGATACATGTACCGTCACGCGTTTTACAAACACACAATTCCATGACATCCAATATTTCCGAAAACAAAAAAACATCTTTATCTCTCAAAACAAACAGATACAATTATGATTTGGATTACATACCATTTCAAGGCACGACGCACATTCGCGATGATACAGATTCGCAACTTTCACAGACAGCGAGCAAAAAGTTTCCTTCACAAAACTTTCATCCTAGCTGCTATGGCACACAACATGGATTATTCGAGAGTAGATATTCATCGAGATCTTCCCAAAGCAATGCAAATATGGTGAATGTAAATAAGGAAACTAAGATATTTTCCTCTAATATACCGCCTCTACCTGTTATTAATACGTCTAGCGTTAATCCGAAAGTCTACTCCGTGTGTCCGTCGTTGGCCGATGCACCAAATTTTAACGAAAAGCCAAAGGTGAAGTTTTCAGATACTGTCACTCACATATTAGTACCTGGTACAGTAAGTACAATTTCAATTAGTAAATTTATTAACATATCTTAAAATAGATATGTGTCTATTTAAATATTATCTACATGTGTACAAAATATTTACAGACTCAAGTATACAGACAAAAACGACCTACCGCACAGACACATATAACAGATCCTAAACGTGAATTAGCTGAAAGTCTTCCACTCTGCCTCGGTAATGAAGATTATCTTAAAGATTTTCAACCATTATGTAGTAAGTATTTTGCATTGCACGTTTTATATTTACGACGTAAATGTTTTAAACAGTATGTTTAAAAGATCGTTACAATATAAGCTGTCTAATAACATTACCTAATATCAATCTTTACAGAAAATGACGTGGACGAAAAAATAAAAGAATCTTCAAAGACTGACGACAGTACAAAGATTAAAGTTGTGCATTTTGGTTATTGTAAAACAGTATTGTTAAGAAAAGTAATACGAACTGTATTTATATATGCATTATGTAATACATGTATGCACTGTATGTGAAGGTGTGCGAAGTAACGAGAAGATAAGAGGAGTGATAAACAATACAGAAAGCCGATTATATTTGTAATAAAGGATAAAATTTAATCTAATTTTAATCTAATTATGACTAAAAATGATGAGAGTATTGTGAAATATTTTTATAAAAGGTTTGTATATATTGTATAATTATTTCAGGAAAGTTAACAAAAAAAAACTTCTTCATCGATTAATTCCATATACTTTTCTTAAGTTATCTTGAGTTGTCTCTATTTTAAACATTTATATTATTTTAAAGAGAATGGCTTTTAATGTTTATATGTACAAAAGCATCATTCACATGTTAAATGCTACGTTAATTATAGTATATATTCAAGTTTTATTCTTTTGTAGTGTATCTAACGTAGACTTCAAGTTAATTAATTCTTTGTCTGGTATGTACCGCTTCTCTTCTAACACAGGATCATAAGTGTCTATATTCAAAGTAACACCCTGTGGTAAAGTTGCTTCCAACACTCTGATAAATACAGAATATTTTATAGAAGGTACTTCCAACATTTGTAAATTTCTTTCATAAATTTTGAGATAGTATTCGGATATGATCGTTGTTGTTCCAGTTTTATATTTTTGAATCTTGAACTCTTGAGGTGGTAACGGCCAGCTGAAAATATGTGTATCGCGTGAAAAATTGAAAAATTGATAAAGAAAATAATACAGAAATTTACCCATTATCTACATCGATTTGCATGATATCTGCCAATTTATGAACAAAAGCCTGATAGCATTCGAGAACAGGATAATCATAACCTCTAATCTGTACATTTATTGTAGATAAAAGTGGAAATTTCGATTTTCCTGTCTGTAAAAAAGTTGGAAAGCTAATATAAAACGTCATATATTTCAAATTCCTACAATTCAAATCATTGAATGACTGATTTAACCTCTAAATAATCTGGCTCATATAGGCTTCCGGTGTAGAATTTTGCCGATAAGATTTTTCTTGCGAATGAGCATGGTCGAAGCAATGCAATCTACAATAAAAGCGATTGTCACACAGTTTGATTACAATAAGATACAAAAGTAGTACAAAAATTCAGTAATGTTGAAGTGTTTTTAGGTTACAATGTGCTCGATGAGAACTGTATGTGATACTCGATTGTGAAGATATACTGTTACCTGTTTGATGAAATTTAAAACCATTTCCCACGGAGCAAAATATAAATAATCAGATTGATGATTTTCAAAAAATTTAATTCATGAATTTGATTGAATTGAATCGCATCAAGTTGTCACGTCAACTTTTGTAAATTTCTCCCAATCGATCAGCTGATTGCTCATGCCTAAAAAAAATGACATTTACAATACTGCGACGTGTCGTATATCGTTTCATGGGAAACCTTCGTAATACGTTAACCTAGTGTTTGCCAAATTTTTACGTGAAACTACAAAAAAAGAGGACATTAATCATATCTGCTATTCACATATAGATAAAATTGATGCAAACGAATCAGATTATATATAATATTGGTTAAAAAAGGAAAAATCAAGTACACTCAGAGTTGTATGTAACTGCATTGCTGAGAACTGATAAAATAATATAATAAAAGCGAAGGTAACAAAGTGTTTTACGATGAAAATGTACCTGATAACTTTCTAAAATTAGAATAACTCACAAAAAAAAAGTGAAATTTATATATAAAGTTTATAATATAATCGCAATACAAGAAAATTACATTGTATAATTTAAATCGATAGAAATAGCGTACTTATTAGAATAATATCACAATGTTTTGTTAAATTACTCAACAAATCAAAAGAAAAGAATCTCGTCGATCGGAATCTGCCATCTGTCTCATTAAAGTTCATTGAATAATAAGTGGAACACAAATGCATTAACAGTCAATATAAAATTTGTTGAGACAATCATGGATATCGAGACAGAAAATGTGATAAATTTAGTATTTCCGGAAGGTATCTTAGGTAACATCAATTTTATTATTTTAGTTATAAAGAAATTGTTAATGTTAATGATCTTTATTGATAATACATCTATATATATTTTATACAACTGTGATCAATATTTCAGAATCGTGGAAGGAAAATCCTAATTTTTATCAATATCTCTCAAAATTAGGAGGCTTTGATGTAGATCAGCTGAGTAAGAATATTTTTTTTATTCACATTTATTATCAATCTGAATGTTACTTTGTATATCGATACAATGCAATTTTATTCCATACAAAAACTTTTCAGGCAAAGAACCCGATCATTTATCTGATGAGAGAAGTGCAGTTCTTCAGACTACACAGAAATTAGTCTTTGCAAACTATAAAACTTTTATTCAGACAGCAGAAAGTTCACGAGAGATACTTAATCATGTAATTTCAAAAAATATAAACTTATACAGGATCTGTATACAAATCTCTGTATAAAAAGATTTCGTTAACAAATTATATTATTTTGCTTCTAGTTCAACGAGATCGAAAGCCGCCTTGACAAACTTGTACAAAAAATTCCAGAATTTGTAGGAAAATGTCAATCGTTTTGTGATACTTCAAAGGATATTAATGCTCATCGAAGACTAAATAGTTTAACGCTAACGCGAAATGCAGAACTACTCGAAATTCTCGAGATGCCCCAATTAATGGAATCTTGCTTGAGAAGCAACCAGTATAATGAAGCATTGGAATTGTCTCAATACGCTCGTCAATTAGGAATGAAGCACGGAGACATACCCATCATCTCGGTATAAGCTCACAACAAAACTTTCATCACGTAAACTTTTTTCGTTATTTGTGTATATTTCGTAATTCCATTTTTTTTTAGTCTATAGTGGCAGAAATTGAAAGCAGTTGGTCTGGTATGGTAGGACAAGTGGTTGGATCTCTGAGAGGAGACCTACCACTTCCGAGATGTCTTCAACTTGTAGGTTTATTACGATCTATGGATGCATTTACAGAATCGGAACTTCGTATAAAATTCCTTCAAGCGAGAGATAGTTGGCTCCAAGGTTTACTAAATGCAATACCGAAGGAAGATCGTAAGAGGATTTTATTTGTATTATCATACAGAGAGTGTTAATCCATAGATAGTATTAATCCAGAAGAACTCAAGAGAATTATTTTATGCGTATTGCAGCTAACCTTCATATGGCTAAAACAATAGAATTATCCAGGATACACTTATTTAATATAATAACGCAGTACAAAGCTATGTTTAACGATGATGAATTGGCAATTCCCGATCGTGACTTGACGTTAAACGAATCTGCGATATTTTATCATTGGTTGGAAGAAAAGGTAAATTCGCGCGAAATAGACGATATAACACATGAATTAATATAAATATTTCGAAAATGCTTTCTTTTTTTTTTCTTAGATATCACAATTTCTTACCACTCTAGAACAAGATTTACCGGGAGTAACATCTATAGATACTATTTTGGGTCAGTGTACCTATTTTGGATTATCGTTTGGTCGAGTGGGTGTTGATTTTACTGGTCGAATGTCCGACATATTTGTACGAGTTATCGGTGAAAGGTTTGAACAGAACGTTCGTAGAACAACTAGGAAGTTTGAGAAAGACATGGAAACATTTACGTTGATTAATAAAACACAACGACTTGATATAAAATCAGAAATTTCTATCAACTCTGTAAGTATGAAATTTCAATGTAGTTTCAAATTTTATGTGTCGATGTGCAATGTAAAATCTGCAATGTATACCTATTTTGTAGGAAAGTCCACCCGAACAATTAGTAGAATTTTATCCTCTCGCTGAATACTGCAATGGAATAATTGCGGCGTTCAATGAATTGAGACTCTGTGCACCGGTGGCACTCTCTATCTCATGCACAAAATTACTACAAGAGTCATTGCATAATGTAGCGAAAGCTATGTTGATATTTTACAAACAAGAACAGCAAGTGAGTTTTTGTTGTCGTGTTATCTTCTCACCCAAGTGTCAATTGTTATTGTCATTATATTTTACAAAAATGAATCTTACAGGCGTTTGCAACTGCAGAACGAGAAAACATGATCAAGTTTACAGAATGCTTGAGTGAACGATTGATACCCTATATACAGTACTGCGTACACGCGATTTTTCCACCTACTCAAATTGCAACACATTTGGGAATATCAATCAGTATACTTCAAAAAGAGGTATGTGGACTGTGGATAAAGAATGTAAAAATACTTCCACGACATAAAATATGACGTAAAATAATTTACAGGAAATCACATATTTAAACAAGCGAAACATAATAGAACCTGTGGCTATACTATTACCTATTAAAAAAGATTCTTTGATTTCTAAGTTATGCACTTCTAACATACAGCCATTAACATCACATAATGCAAAGAATCCTGTCGCATCATCTCTGCCAATAGAAACGATAGATCCCACCAACTCGAAGATTTTAGAAAAATCAAAAGAAAACGAAATTATTCAACAGGAAACGATACAAAAACGCGAGGTATAAAATTCGCAGAGTTCTATCGATGATGCAAAATAATCCGTATAAGATATCCGATATAAATATCAAAGTATATGTATATGTATTTAATTGTAAATTTGGATAATAGCTTACAATGTTACATTAAAGAATTTTATATATATATATATATATATATATATATATAAAATCGAGGTAGTGTAAATAAAAAAGATTTTTAATCAGTGGACTCTACTTTTATTTTTTGAAAATGCAAGTAGAAATAAAAATTTGACAAACAAGCACGTAAGAGTGCAAATAGTTTAATCTTAAAGTAAATACAAAGCGATTAGGCTTCAATGGGTATCGAAATATTTATTCTTTCATAGATTCTTCCGTAACTTGACTCGTCTGAGAGGGCTCATTTTCATTTTTCTTCTTTTTACTGCCGGAAACAATGTCATCTATTCTCAACAACAGAATAGCAGTCTCGATAGCTGTTTTATACGTCTGTAATTTTACAGACAGCGGCTCCCATATGCCGCGTTCTTTCATATCGACCAATTTACCCGTTTCACCGTCGATGCCCCAAGTCATTCCTTCTGTCGCGTGTTTAGCGCGCAATGCAGTCAGAGTTCTGATAGTATTCGCGCCGCAATTCTGCGCCAATGTCCTAGGAATAATCTCTAACGCTTGTGCGATCGCCTTGTATGGCCATTGTTCCACACCTGCGAGACCCGCTGCCTTTTCTGTTAAGAGTCGAGATACCGCCATTTCCACTGCACCACCACCTATAACAAAGAGAAAAATATACATGTACTTCGAGAGCTTTGAGCACAATTTTGACATAAAATAATAATAGGAATTTCATGTACCTGGTACCAGTTTTGGATCGATAAGAAGATTTCTGGCAACGTGCAGGGCATCCTGCAAATTCCTCTCGGTTTCATTCAGGATATCTTTGCTAGCTCCTCTCAGAATAATCGTACAGGCTTTAGGATCCTTGCATTCCGTGATAAAACAAAAATAATCGTCCCCGAGTTTCTTGATTTCAAAAAGACCAGCCCCTGTACCAACATCCTCTTCCTTCAATTCCTCGGTACGATTGACGATAGTGGCACCACAGGCACGAGCGATTCTGTTAATGTCACTCTTTCGCAGCCTGCGTATCGCAGATATCCCGGCTTTCACAAGATAATGCTGAGCCAGATCCGATATGCCCTTTTCCGTTATCACGACATCTGGTTTCACTGCAATAACATCCTCACAGATTTTCTTCACATGCTCCTCTTCTAATTCCAAGATTTTTGTAAAATCAATATCCTTCATTATTTCTATGTTTGTCTGAGATTCGCCCTTTTTATATTCCAATGGACAATCCAGCAGTACTATTCTTGGATCTTTAATATAACGTCTCATTTTTGGATGCGTCACATCCTTATTGATCATCACACCTTTCAGGACAGTACTGTCCTCTATCGTACCACCAGGTATCTTCTCTACTTTTGCATAACGTTTGATGTCAATTTCTCTCCTGCCATTCTCCTCAAACATTACCGTATAAACGGCATCTAAAGCGATTTGGCAGGCCAATTCAGACCAACGTCTTATAAATTTGGTGCCTATACAGGCATTTATCACTTGAATCAGTTTGTTTCTGTCATTACAATCTAGATTAATACTGACTTGCTCTTTGAGAATCGTGATCATATCTTCCAAGGCTAGACGATAGGCTCTTATAATTACAGTAGGGTGCATGTTCTGTTCCAAAAATGGTTCAGCAGTAGCCAAGATCTCACCCGACAAGACGATGACCGAAGTGGTACCATCCCCTACTTCTTCATCCTGAGTCCTGGCAATTTCTATCATGGACTTTCCAGCAGGATGCTGCACAGTGATCTCACGCAGGATCGCATTTCCATCATTTGTCATTACGATACCACCCATTGGATCCATCAACATCTTCAACATGGCTTGTGGACCCAGACATGTTCTAATGACATCGGCAATTGCCTTTGTAAAAATAATAATAATAAAGTGACAATAAAACCTTGCTTACAATTAATTTTATGTATATCTCGCGCATGCATCATTTTGAGACAAATTTAATAATGTATTCAAAATACAATTGTCTTTGTAAATAAAAATTATTACTATTAGTCAATTTAGCAACGTTGTGTCAATTATGTTAAAACTAAATTTATATATTGCTCGCAGGAGTCGAATTAATCCGTGCGGGATACGAGTTTTCATATTTAGATTAATAACGTATCAAGTAACGCTCAAGTCGGCACTCGATTCGCGCAACACGGAATCCTGCCTCTTTAGAAAGACGCACGTGGGTGTGTCGAAAATTACGAAGATCGCCTTATAAGGCGATACATCGCTTGCCCATAGGCGCAGTTTAGGCGCTCACCTTGCCCGCTTGAATATTTTCTCTCTGTACTTTTCTGCCGGTGTCACGCTTCGTATTCTGGCCTGCGATGATCAAAACGTTCGTCATGGTTAGAAAGGCGATTCGTATATGCGGATATCAAATAAGTGACAAAAGATAGCTGGGTTCAAACTTACTGAGAACCACAATTGGTGCTGCACCAAACATTGTGTTTTTTCTTTATTATTGTACGTTTTTCTTTTGTTATTATATCGATTGACGTGTCAGAACCGTAAGTTTTCGAGAAAAGAAGAGATTGTGAAAGACCAACGAAGAACACTCGTCAACGCTCGAACCACCATGAACGGCGAAGTTTCCGAAAGTGCCGCATGAGCATGAGTAATATAGATGCGATTTCGCAGTGAGTGCTGCGTCGGTAAAATAACGATGGCGGAATATACGACGTTAGACTTAGTCACAGAATAAAGGTTCAATTTGAAACTTCGATAAAATTTCTAAATAAAATAAATAAAAAAAAAAACCTATATTACATGCACATGTATATTACATGCGCACGCAAGTGTCTAATGTTCGTTCAAAATTGAGTAATTTTGCTAAACGTGTAAACGTCAAATCTACAATACCGATAAAGCTCTATGTAGCTTTGCGAAGCGCTTCGCGCAATCTTGGAATAAATATCGTGATTTAATTCAATTTGATTAAATGGTGTCGTACACGCGATTTCTTTGATAGATTCGATCTCGACAAATGGCATATGATGGCATACAACGCATACAACATTTACGCGCATTGGTTAGTTATGTATATATTTACATTTATAAAATGTATGCCTAACCAACACTCAATTACAGCAGTATGGAGTAATGTGGACGTGATGTACGGTCTCACAGAGATGGATACGTTTTATTAAATAGATTGCTTGTGACATTAACACGATGGAGAATACTAGTGATAAATTTTTTTATGTATACAGTTCTTCGTTAGATACCAGGATACAAGTTAAGATGTAAGTCTCTACTTCATTTGTATCACTTGTGTCGTACGATTTAAGATTATCACACGATAAAAGCATCTTAACGTTCCGTCCATGTGATGACGTTCCGTCCATTGATTATGTCAATATGAAATAATCGGATCAGAATAATTAATGCGCATGCAAGTGTGTATGTGCGTACGGACATGTGCATATGTATTAAAATACATTCCGTCTTTATCTTTAGTACTAATCGCATACGCAATTGGCAATTTCTTTAGATGTATGACGTCGCAACGAGACACGTATTAATGTTCTGTTATATTACAGAGGTACATTAGAGGGTAAAAGACACAGACCCGAGTACGACGAGCTACTTCTTGACCCTTTACTCAAATACTCGGGTTTGTACGAGAGTGGTGGGATTCGTGGAGATCTAGCTGCATCTCTGCAAGTATGGGCTGGTAGTAGACCCTTAGCTCTGCCTGTACATACAGCCTATAAGCATTTTACCACCCGCTGGAAGTATGTTTGTACATTTTATATGTTATATTATCTATTTACTATTAAAATTTCATGATATTCATATAGCTGGAACCAGTGGGTCTATTTACCAATTTCCTATACGGATTTGCCACGCGATGCCCAATTGTGCATCACCCTGTATGACTGTGCTGGACCTGGCAGACAACTTCCAGTAGGTGGTACAACTATATCGTTATTTGGCAAACATGGAGTGTATCGACAAGGTATGTTAGATCTTAGAGTATGGCCTGGAATAGAGGCAGACGGTGGTGTTCCAACTAGTACCCCAGGAAAAGCTAGAGATCATGGGAAGGAGCAAATGCAGAGGCTTGCAAAACTTGTTAAAAAACATAGAAATGGGCAAATAAACAAGATTGATTGGCTGGACAGATTAACTTTTAGAGAAATTGAATTAATCAATGAAAGGGAGAAAAGAGCATCGGAATACCTGTATCTGACGGTTGAATTTCCTGAAGTAACAATGGATGGAGTACCGGTAGGTGTCAAATGTTGTGTATTTTGATATAATGAGAAAAAAGAAAGATAAATATATTAATATATTTATTGTACTTCTTACAGTATTCAATTGTATATTATGAAAAAGATGGTGACGAGGTTTTTCAACACAGGCTGCAACCAGATGTTGTGACACTACCTGATTATGAAATTTTACAGGTAAAGTTTAAAAAAAGAAAGAAAAAAAAGGAAAAGTAATATATTACCTTCATAGTTCTGCGCCTATGCTGGTGGTCAAGGTGCTCTCTCTCTCTCTCTCTC